TTATGTGCTACATGTTGTGGGAGTTACGCATGTATGAGGTGACGAGTGTCCGTGCGTATGCTAGAATTCCTGATTATGTCCGGGTAGACTTAGATTCACGTCGTGCTTTAACTGTACTATTTGAGTTATCCTTGCATGTTTAATTACTTTATTTCGCATTATGACCTGAGACTAGACTCACGCAGAGTAATGAACTCGCTATTTTAGATATTCGACGAGCTACATGATTAGCCGCAAAAAATTATGTTTCCCTTACGAATTTCTCCCGCGTTGTGCATATTCATTAAAAAATTTCCTTAAATTTCATAACTCACACATATATTCATGAGCGGGGTTAATGACCCGTAAAAGCTTCTTATTCTAATGGATTCAGGTTGTTCGCCTCGGTAGGATTTTGTACCACACTCTTATGGGATCAGGTCGTTCGCCTCAGCAAGATATTATTGTAACACACTCTTACGGGATCGGGTCGTTCACTTTAGCAGTATCATGTAACACGCTCTTATGGGATCAGGTTGTTCGCCTCGACAAGTTCATGAAATACTCTTATGGGATCGGGCCGTTCGCCTCGGCAGAATCGTGCATAATAGTTGACAAAAACCCAGTGTATCGTAAGTTTTTCTGACTTGAGTTATGATGACCTATCTGATGGGGACTATATTATATATTCCATTGAGAAGGTAACCGATATTTGAGGACTTGCGTTTACTCTTCAGATGAGGTTCGTATCATGTACCTATATTTGTTTTCACTATTTAATTATCATGTTTCATACTTGCTAGTTTATACTGTACTTGATTTATTGGACTACTAGTAAGTGTCGATATCGACCCTCGTCACTACTTATCTGGGGTTAGGTTAGATACTTACTGGGTACGCGTTGATTTACGTACTCATGCTACACTTCTGCACTTATTGTGCAGATATATATTTCTGGTGGTCTTTTGGGCGCAAAGGCGCAACTATTGCGGGGACTTCACGGTGAGCTGCATCCCATGTTACGATCAACAACATATGGAGTCTCCATCATAATTATTTATATTATCCTGTCTGTCTTGTATTCCTGACAGATGTTGTATTGTTATTGTATTTTCTAGTAGATACTCATGCACTTGTGACACCGGGTTTTGGGGTGTTCTAGAATTTGTTTATGATTTTGCTTACCATTGAGACACTTTTACTTTATATTTTACTTAAATCATACGTATCTACGATTTTTGATGCATCGATCTCTCTATCTAACAAGATTCATGATAAGAACAATTAAGTTGGCAGTTCACCGTTGGCTTGCCTAACAGAGGCGTTGGGCGCCATCACGACCTATAGTGGATTTTGGGACGTGACAATAACCCTTTTTATAGGAGTGACCTAGGGTTAGGGTGGAGTAACCTCTAAGTTAGCGTTTTGGTAGAGTAGCCTCTAAGCAACCCTAATAGACTTCTAGAATTTCAAGAGTTATCTTGTAGTGTCTTGAATTTATGATTTAACCCAAATTTCGTATGAACTTGATCCGTTAAAATTTTGATGTGTACATAAAGAAAATAACTTTTAAAATACTAAAGCCAATCGAATATTAAAAAATTTAAAAATATTTTCCTTTATATCAAACACATTTGTTCTCAAAAGAAATGCTATGCTTAAATTTAATTTTAATTTATGAAATTCTGAAAAGGACCAATGGCGTTTTCAATTTTTGCAATTGGAAGAATCAGTTACACCTATTTTTGGGAAAAGTTGGGCGAAGATTGGCCCTTAATAGAAAGAGTGACGTTAAAGGATAATAAAGGAGGCAGAGATCCAGTCAGCTATGTAACGCCTTTTGACGAAGTGATTGAGCTTTTCTTTATGTGCGGTGGGAAGTTTAGCACTCTTTTGGCTTGGGCTGCTTAGACACGAGCTCGGCTTGCTCTTGTTTTCTTTCCTTACTATGAGACGACAACAACAACCCAGTATAATTTCACTAGTGGGATCTGAGAAGCGTAATTTGTACGCAGACCTTACCTCTATCCTGGAGTAGAGATGCTGTTTACGATAGACCCTCGACTCCCTTCCTTCAAGAACTCCCTACCATGCTCTTGGGTGACTCGAACTCACAAGCTCTTAATTGGAAGTGAAGGATGCTCACCACTAGAGCAATCCACTCTTTTCCTTCGAATGAGAATGAAAAGATTTATTGTGATAAGGCAACCAAACTAAAACTCTTCAAATAATCTGATTATATTATAAGTATCCTTTCGTTTCTCTCAAGCATAAACTTTTTAAGGCAGTATAATTTAAAAAATTTCTATAAGTTGCTAAGAAGATTACCTAATGAACATGAAATTATGATTTAAATCGTGTCATAACGAAATATTGCTACCTTCTAAGTTCTAACTATCGCTGCTAAATTAAACCTTCCTATTTTTGAGAAGGTCGATTCTCTAGGATATTAAAGATTTTCTTTTAGAGATAAAAAACATTAACATGAGAGGCTGGTAAAAAAACAATACCTGAAATTTTTATAGCATCATGTTCTTCTATCCAATAATTAGTCTTAAAAGATTATTTCTCCTTATTTCTCGTACGCCCTTGTTTCTTTAATAAAGAATGGTCAAATAACATTCTAAAATTCGTATGAAAATAAAACCAATCCTCCAAAAATTAGGTTCGAAGCTTGGGAATATTTTTTTTATAGGGAGGGCTTCCCCTTAAATGAATATATGCAGTAAAATCCAAATTACAGTTTGCTTAGATTACCTAATTGTAAATAGATGATAGACTTGAGGTACTAAAAGTATTTTTAAGTACTGAATTAATTTTTAAATAAGCATTTACGTGTTTTGATAGACATGCTGAAATTGATAATAAACAGTTGATATTTTTGATAGAAAAGTGATGATAAACTATTCTTTTCTTAAAATATTAATATACCCTTTAAAACTTTACAATAGATTATAAATGAAAAAGTATCTTTGTAAAGAAAAGGATGAACTTATTTTGGAAAAAATATTTTGTAAATTGAAAATATTATTAAGAATAAACTAGTAGAAGCCTTAAACAAAATAAAAGTACTTATAAAATGAAAAAGTATAAGTTTAGGGTGATCAACTTATGATTAATTTTAATTTATAAGTACTTGAATTATAAATATTTTGAGTATTTATCAAACATATAAATAAATAAAAAAATATTTATAAGCTAGTTTGATCAACCTATAAATTTAGCAGCACACCCCAAATAGCAAATGAAAAAAAAAATCCTCCAATAAAATACTCACTAAGAGCCAGCTCAAAGCCGAGCTGCTTTAATAAAAGCAACATAAATTTCTTTGACCATTGACTGAATCTCTCTCTCCACATACACGTGTTCTCCACATGCCCCTTATATAAACGCCCCTCCCTCTTCTCCTCCGCATTCACACAATCCTCTTCTCTCGATCCCCAACTTCCTCTTCCCTAACACAAATCTCCGATCCAATTATGTCAAACAACTACCGTACTTCCACCGGCGACCGGCGGAATCCTAGCCGGTTGCAGCGCCGAGCTCCAGCATCGATTCAAATCAACCGCGCGGCCGATTGGAACGTCGCGATACCGCTTTTATCGCCGTTGATTACTTCTCCGACTTCTCCTGATAACCTGAAATCGGCGATTAATCGTTTCTCTAATTCGAGTAATAATAATAAAGAGGAGGTGAAGAAAGAGTTACCGGAGAAGCCGGTAAAAACGGTGTTTAAGAAATGGCAACATCCTGCGGCGCCGTTTTGTCATGAACCAGCGGCTCCGTTGTTTCAGTTTGTGTGTACAGGAACCACCAATAGACGGTGAAATTTAATAGATTTAAAAATCTGAATGTCTTAATTTTAGCTGTTGAAATATACATAGATCTGATTTTAGCTTTTTATAAACGAATTGTCGATAATTTTTTTTTTTTTTTTTTTTTTATAGTTTTGTTATTAGGATGAAGAATTTGTATAATTAGAGTGTTAACAAGTTATGAAATACTGATTGAGGAAAGTTTAAGCTCTTCTGATTTTCGTTTTTTCTCTTTTCTGCTGTTTAATTTTTGGTTAATGCAACTAATGTGGATGATAGCTGGCACTTGTTTTGTAACATGAAAATGCTTGTTTAATTTAGAAATGAGCTAGAAAGGAAAAAGGAAGGCAAATGCTGAGGGACAGCACCACACCAGTTGGAAAAGCTAAGGTAAAGGTAGTAAGGGGCATGAAAAATTCTATAGTAAGATTTTTAGCGGGACACCTAGGCCAATTCTACATCAATAAAACACTTTCCCCAGCTTGTTCAATTCATAAACAAGTGCAATTTCATCTCCTGAGACCACCCCACCGATCTCATTTCAAGTGGTGTAAAAGTTACTAATTCGACATTTGAAATAATTCGACTTTCTAAAAGACTTGTTAGTTTGGCAACTCGAGAGAGATGATAGATATAAGTAAACACGAGAGATGGTAGTGACACATTATATTTGAGTGGATAAGGGTAAAGGAGTGAGATCGGATTTGTTATTCATTGAGACTCAAATTATGTGCCACTATATTATGAAAAAAGTCTGAAAAAGTGATCAATGGAGTTTTGAATTTCCTTCTGCTGGTTCTTACCTAGTAGGCTTTTGGTGTTGCATTTAAATCCCTTTGTTAAATTTCATTGGATGAATTTCACCAATAGGTCACAAGTTCGAATTTAGGCTAGTGAATTATGTATGGTATTTACATGAGGAAAGTAGGAGAACAAATTTATTATTTGCCGAATTTTGAAATTGTAAATAATGGATTAAATTTTGTGTTTTGAGTGAAGAAAGTGGTGAAAGAATTGATCATTGTAATTGAAAATAGTGGATATTTTTTTTATTATCAAATTATAATAAGGTGAAAAAAGTAAACTTAAAGGAGTCTCGTTATAGCTTTCTCAATTCTATTTTTCTTCCCTTAGCTTGCTCAAATTTTCTTTTGAACGTGATGCGTCAATCCTAGGAAAGAAAGCATATGGTTGAAACTTACTATGGTCTTAGTGCATCACGTTCTTACAATTATCGTTAACTTTAACTTTATATTACTTTTGTGGGAAATTATTTTTCTTACAATTATCGTAATTTTAACTTTATATTACTTGTTTCTATTAATACTTAAATATCATTGTTGATCTTTAACACTCAAACAATTCATCAAAATCTCTCGAGTTTGCTGATATTTTTAGTTATATATATTTTTTCAAAATATATTTTTCACTTGCTGACCAAACATAGAAAAAATATCCGTCAAAAATATTTTTCACGAAAAAATGACTTTCATCACATCCAATACAATCTAAAAGAGTTCTAATTTTTGCCACTAGAAAAGGCTCCATTTTTTTTTTAATTCTTTTTATCTATACATGAACTAATCCTATTATCCTGTTTTCATCTCTTCAAGGATGACATATAAAATTTGAACGATACAAAGAAAATTATGTTGGTCTCTATCGCAAGAATAACATGCACAACTAAAAAAAATTATCTTCTACAATGGGCCCTCCTTCTTGGGTGTTTTATTTTTTAGTGATGGAAAGGATAGAAAACAAAAACTAAAAGGGCATCCACTTTGGATGATTGTAAATGATAATTACATCTTTATACACCTTTTTGCTTTTTTGCTTTCACTCAAATGATATACAAATTTCTCACGTCTTATTTTTCTTGTCTATTTTGTTTCCTATATACTTATCTTTTTGTCCCTTTATTAAGTGATCACAATTCGGAAATCTAATATCATGAATTAAAATCTCAGTAGTTTGCTAGTAGAAGTCTTCGGCCTCGGTTCTTTGCATTTAATGAAGGTCTGAATCTTAATCATTCAGATCTCAGATATTAATTAGTGCGTTTGTTTTTTAAATTTGAATCTTAATTATTCAGATATTAATCGTTAAGTGTGTTTGTTTTTTTAATTTTCTAGCCACTTAGGACCCGTTTGTTTTTTTCAAGATTAAGACGTTTGAACCTGAATACACATCTGAATATCAAGATGTGCATTAAAATTGAGACATCTGAATCTAAATACACATATGAATATTATGATACGTATCAAGATCTGAATACTAAATAATTAAGATTGTTTATTTTTCAACATCTGAATGTATAAATTTTATCTTTATTTAAAAATTAATAAATATAAAAATGAAATAAAATACTAATTAATCTAATATTCTATTAATAAAATATATATTTTTAAAATATGGTTGTTAGTGGTAGTGATGGCTAACAGTGGTGCTTGTGAATGCCTACTAGAGGCGGCAGTTGGTGGTGGTTTTGGTAGTAGCTAGTGGTGATTTGTAGTGATAGCGATTATGGTTGAGGATGGTGGTGGTGGATGGTAATAATTAGTAATGGTGGATGGTGGTTATTTTTGTGATTGAGGAATGTGGTAGTAGTTTATAATGGGCAGTACCGATTATGGTTGTTGATGGTTAGTTGTGGTAGTTAAGGTGGATGAGTTTGTGGTTGTGGTTGAGAATGATGGTAGTTGTGGGTGGCATGGTGATAGTTAATAATGGTAGGCGGTGACGACAATTAATAATGAATGTGGATGATAGCATCTTAATGAAATTAAGTCTTTGTTATAGATCTTAACCATATAGACCTATTCAGGCCTATTAAGTGGGTGTGAAGTAAAAAACATACTTAATGATTAAGATATGAATGATTAAGATTCAGACTTTAAAAACAAACATACTTAGTATCTGAGATTTGAATAATTAAGATTCAGACCTCCATTCAGTGCAAACAAATGAGGCCTTAATGGGTCTGATTAGGTGTTATTGATTAAGATTTATAACAAAGACTAAATTTTATTAAGATACTATTATCCACATTCACTACTAACCACCGCCACCATCCACCATTATCATCTACCACCATGCACCACACTCAACCACCACCACTGACTACCACCAAACTCAAGCACTACCACTGACAACCATCATCCTCAACCATAACCGCCACTGCATTATTGACTACCATCACCTTCAACCCCTCAATTATCGACTATCACTACCCACTATCACCCATCATTATCAACTAATGCCACCACCATCATCCTCAATCACAACCACCCACCCAACTCAACTACCACCATCATTAACCATATGCACCATTATCCATCATTATAAACTACCACCACCCACCACCACTTCCTCAACCATACCTACCACTACCAATCACGACTAGGTACTACCTTGAACCACCACCATCAAATCAAAATCACCACCCCCATTCGGCATCCATAAGCGCCACCGTCAGCCATCACCACCACAAACTATCATATATTTTTTAAATAAAATATATTAATAAAATATTAAATTAATTAGTATTTTATGCAAATTTTGTATTTATTAATTTCTAAGTATGAATAAATTTATACATTCAGATGTTGAAAAAACAAACAATCTTAATCATTTACTATTCAGATATTAATACACATCTTAAATATTTAGATGTGTATTCAGATTCAGACATTTTAATCTTAATACACATCTTAATATTCAGATGTGTATTTAGATTTAGACGTCTTAATCTTTTTAAAAACAAATGAGGCCTTCCTCTCCCTAATACAATAATAATTATACCTTAGTCTCAAATAAGTTAGGGCTGGGAATGGCTATTAGAATCTACAACAATCATATTTTCACAATATAATTAAATTTATTTCAAACCAACATTCTCTAGCTAATACTATGTGATATTTTCTTGACCATAAACTTGAAGGGGAAAAAGGAGTTAGTTAAAGAAAAAAGATAAGTCTTTTCAAACATTGTTTTACAACTTACTAATTAATTGTTACGTGGCTGTATGAACAATTTATAATTCACGAAGTTTTGCTGAGGGATGTTCAATGCATTATGGAAAAAGTTTTCTTAGAAATTTCTATAACTATATTTGCAATGGAGAGCAAATTATTTGTTATTCTAGGTCAACTTAACATGATAACAACGCATAAAATCTATAAACTGTCAATTCTCATAATTTAAATTCATTAAATGATATGTCTAGTTCTAATGCAATTCTATATTATTAATAAATATTTTTAAAAAAAGATTAGTTATACGAGAAGACTATTAAATATTACCTTCTTATTTCCGATAATTGACTAAAATATTACATTCTATAAGTGTGACTATGTTTTTTTTTTCCCATAAAAGGAGCACTGTAAATGATCAAACCAAAAATGAGATATGTAGGAGTATTAAGATTTACATATTAAACAACTTAAGGAGGCTCCATACAAAAAGGAAGGTACTACAAACTATTAATATTTGTTTAAGTTTCCACATCTTTACAACTTGCTTGATAAAATCTGGAAAATAATAGTAAGAGAGGAGATGAGGTAATAGATTAACAGCTAAAACATTCCAAGTCTAGGCTTCATACACCGGCCAAATATATTATTAGTTGTATTAATAGTTTTATATGGTCTATTAATTGAGAAGTTTGGGTCGATTTTGAATGGTTTATAACGCAAACAAGAAAACACAATCCCTGCAAAAAATGATCCTCTCTTTTTATTCCTAAAATAATCCATTCAACGTCAATACACTAGAAAAGTATTAGATGTCATTTTCATGAAATATTATTAGAGTATTAATATTATTGATACTTTATTACTTATATATGGGGGTATGACTCTTTTAGAAGAAAATTACCAATATTTTTTGTTGTATAATTTTGTGCAGGTTTGACTTATCTTTCGGGAATGGTATTGGCTTATCTACTTGCTGGCCCACGATGTGCTATGGTTAATTTTCCCAAATAGTCGCACATATCCCGACCGCTTAAACTAAAAATAGCTGATTGAAGTATAATATATATATATATATATATATA